CAAAAAAAAAAAAAAAAAAAAAAAAAAAAAAAAGAATCCATACTTCAAACACTTCAGTGTGCCTAAACTATGACATCTCCTCATTTGCTAAGATAAAACTTCTTTACGTAACTATATCATAACCCCAAACTCTAATCAGCAGTGGGAAAATGAGATTACAACAGCAAACATAGCAATCTGATTGACATGGTAAACAACCCTTCTGCACATAATCAATTTAGGCTCCCGCCAGCAGTGAATTAGAACTTGTAGGTTTTTTTTGGCTCTTACCCTATCTTATTTTTTATAATAGTTATGCATTCATGAAAACATATACATTTATAAAAACATTTCTTGTAGTTATAGTTTAGATTTTCAGATGATACTACATGTGGTTTGCTTCTAAGAAGAGAGAAATATTCCAGACTGAAAAGATAATCCACCAAAGCAGAAGTCCATTAAAACCCTAAAATTATTCCATCTAAATTTCTTACATTACACACGAAAACTTTATGTCAATGTAAAATATCATGCTTCCGTCATTTTAATAGGCTAAACGTTGCAGATAAAATTCTTCTGCCACAAAGTAAATCGTGAATATGTTGGATTCTAGGTAATATGTGCTAACAGTCTTTCTTGTCTAACACTACATTCTCTAGTTTTTCTCATCATTTCGGATTCCCCCAAACACACATTATTATTCTTGTTCTGATCATTTCAAATTTTCGTAATATTTTTTTCATTTTTTTTTATAGCTGATTGCCTTCTCGTATTACATATTTGTTCTCCTCTCAGAATTGAATTGCTATCTCATATGGCTAGGTCTTTACTCCTTGGGATTCTATAGAGCAAGAAAAGAATACCAGTAATATAAATAGCAAAAACAAAGTACCTATTTTCCATGGATCATTATAATAATAATGATTATAATGATTATAATAATAATAAAATATTATTTTATAATATTAGTAATAATAATAATAATAATGATTCCATAAAACCTATATAATACTAAAAATTTATTTTCTACGTATTTTTCCCAAAAAAGTGATGTAAATATTTTGCATCCAAAAGCTATATTTGTTGAGCTGTCTTGCATATCGTATGTGCTAGAGTTAATGAAGTTACAATCAAACTTGAAAATGTAATAGTCTTTAAAGCTAAATTAATTCTGGACAGATCCATTGCTTAACAAATTATGGCTAGAAACTCCCAGTAAAATGATTTGCTAAGCAAGATGTTATGTAAATTTTCCAACCTACATTCTTTGTTTTCCAACTTTGAATTTTAAATGTATAACAGTAAATGCTCAAGGTCTTTTGAGTAATCTTCCCAAAATGACATTATTGCTGGGCTATAACTAAGTAATTAAATTTGACTTGTATCTACTCTAGTTAATTAACCTTAACATTTTTCAGAACAGTCAAGCTAACACGTTATACCTTGAAAAACCAAACAACATTTTGTAATAATTATTACCACTAAACTAGCATCATTAAAGAACAAACATTAGTAGCACTTCAAATCTGTGGATGTCACCTACCAAACCACAAATCAAATTAACATATTCTTCATTTATTTTTTATTAGCTGTTAACATTAGACAGAATTCCCTGTTGAAAGTCAAGATCAGCTGGCATGGGTTTAGTATTTGTCACTGATTGAGTTTATACAAAAGCATGTGCTAACTGTTAATTATATCTATGTAATGAGTTTTTGCACTGTAATTTTCAAATGTTTTGCCGAGAATACATTTTATTAGAGACTACAAACACCACTTACCACTTACAGGTATTTTTCTCAAATATGGATTTTGATCTTAAAAGAGGTCATGTTGAAATAATTCAACTCATTTACATAAAAATATGAATGAATAGGTACAGACTTCTACACTAAATATGAGGTCAAAGATTAGGAATCTGTCTTGTTCTTAAAACCTATGAATCAGTAAACCTGACTGCCTCTTGATCTCCATCCCTGATCAGACTGGACCCTATTTCTACCTTGGTTAATGGCTTCTTAAAATTAGATATACTTTAAATCCAGGCTTTTCCAGGAATCTCTTTATGATGCTCTGGAAAGAATCATAAATTCTGGGCTCATGCACATCATTAAAGAAACAAAAAAAAATTTTTTAAGTATCTAATAAAGCTCAGTGGCGTCAATAGTCCCATCTATGTATTTTAGGTCGTTGAGAAAGTCATCTCTCAAGAGTAACTAATTGGATGAAATATAAATTCATTTTTAAAGATAAATTGAGTTGTGTCTACATAGTTCAACTAGACTGCATGATGACAAACTCTCTTTCACTTGGATCTGACTGTGTGGACCTGGCATTGTAAACTACCAGAGGAAAAATGATCCATAACAAGAAAGAGTAAGGGATCTTGATAATATCATGTTTTTCTAAAAGCATTCTGTCTGAATTCTTGGTACCTAGCCTAAGGCTAAGTCCCAGGCACTGCAATAAATTTATTCAAGCAATAGACTGATTAACCATCTACAAACCTCGTCAGTAGTAAAACTCTAAAACATTAAGATTAAAACGCCTTAAAATTAAAATTCTAGAAAGAAGAGAAAAATGTAGGGCTGTAATTTCATTTCACTTATAAATAAAATGTTTTGCCATTGCTAAAATTTCATATTTCAACTTAGCAAATAAAATATAGGAAGAATTTTATAAAACTAGGAACTGGCCGTTGATCCAGAACATGCCTAAGAACACATATACAGAGATGCTGATAATTCCACCAATTCTTACCAGCTTTCACAAGGTATCTAAAATTCTAAAGCTGAAATTTGGCAATATTCCTTCCTTAGCAAGAATGAAATCAATTTAATGGCACAGGCTGAATGTTTGAAATGGAGATTGACAGAATAAATTATACCATCAAATCACTGTCTCTTTTTTTCCTTCTTTTGGGCACTACACTGTGCCCAAAAGAAAGTTATTTATTTATGCTTTGGTAGAAGTCCTGAATGGGAAAGTCTGCCTCTCGAACAAGTGGAGAGCCAGTATTCTCAGGAGAAAGCAAGATCACATTTTCTTGAGAAAACACCCTAAGTAAAATGAGTAAATAAAACAAAGCACTAATTTGGTCATATTTAAGAGCTACCCTTGTGAGTTCATTTAACAACATGCAATATTCCTTTAACAACATTCAATATCACTTGTAATCCATGTAAAAGTATATCAAATACAAGAGAGTTCAATAATTGAAATGATTATGAAATGGAATGAGCAAGAATTCCTAGCAAAGAAATAAAGTTTATGTGCTAATGTGGGCAGGATCACATTCAACACGGGCCTTTGGGAAAATCCTTCCTTGGGTGTGCAGTATATTCATTTGCTATTATATTACTATCTTTCAGTAAAATATTTGTCCCAACAAAACACATCTCACTAAGTGGATCATTAACAACAAAAGAACCAATGTAAAATAGATATTCAACAAAAGTTCTCCCCACAAACACATCCAAAGATGGCTATTATCTCTCTTTGCTTGATGTCACTGTGATATCACACTAACTGTCCATCTCTATACAACAACGTCAAAGAGGTGATAGATATTGGAAGCCTCTTTCAGAAACATCCGCTCCCTTTGTTTTTGTTTTCTGTTCACTTATTGTAGAAGAAATTTCATCTTGGAGAGAATGCACCCCATTTGATATATCACATGCCATTTACACAAGAGTTAACTATTTTGAGAACAAACTGTATTTTATATTGTTTCTCCTGAAAGTCCTAAGTTGCCAAAGATTCCACCAACATAATTATTCATTGGAATGTCCATTTTTTGCACTGCAGATATTATAAATAGTTTCCTTTCGTCCTTCCAGTCTGGATACTGCTCATCGAGTCACATTTTCTGGTTTGCTTTTGGTGAGTGCAATGCCCCTGGCCCTCGGCAAGGAAGGAGGAAAAGCTCTCTAAACAGCAGCTGTCTTTGGAATAATTATCGCACAACCTGCCATTCTGTGTTACAGTGTTGGCAAATGTCACTGTAAAGTGCCAGTAGGAAAAGTAAATTGTTCCCCACTTTTTTTCTCTGACATGCTCCCTGTCAACTCGGATGCTTGGACAGAATCCTACTTCTCTCCCCATCCCTGTACCAGTAGGGTAAAAAGGTTTGTTTAATCATGTAAAGTAAAATCAGACTGGAACTAAATAAGAGCTAAATGACTTTCCCCATTGGCATAAAACTGAAAAGGCAGGATTGGCCATTAAGTCATAATTAAGCATTAGCAGTTAAGCAGAAACATTATATAATCACAAAAACAGTGTCAGATAAAAGCAGCAGAAATCATTTCAGCCAGCCCTGGTAGCCAGGCAATTCTTTTCAGGGATGTTTCTTTTTTGGGCTTTCCCAATTTGTACTCAGTAATGAGGTTAGGACATAATGTGATGTTTTCAATGTTCCCTTTCTGTGTGTATATTACGTGATCAAGATAGAATACAAATTTTTCAACCCATCATAAGGGCTCAGATAAATTCTGTCAGAAGACTCATTCTATAAATCTACTTAAAAACTATAAATGTACTTAAAAACTGTAAAAGTACAAAAGTAAAAATAAAATAAAATTAGGATCTCTGGGTATACAGTATATTGATCAGTGGTATAGGAGCTAGAAGCTAGGATATTTCCATATTTTGAAAGTCGTCTTGCACAGTAACTATTCCACTCTTCCTTCGCCATTTAGTTTTAAAAAAACGCGCACACATTCGCACATCCACAAACGCAACTCAACCACACACATAGGTATAAAAAAAGAACTTACACAATTTCATCGTTCTGGAACTCGAGCTCTCCACACGTGTCCTCAAAGTCCTCACCTCCGCCTCTGGCGGTCCCTTCAATGGTTTTATAGGGAACGATAACATTTCCGCGTGCTCCAGATGTTCTCAACACTTTCACCTCCATGATGCCAATGCTCTCACTCACGTGAGTCACAGGTTCCTCAAAAGTAAAGATGCCTGCGTGGTCATCATCAAAAATAGTCACGGTGGCAGTGGAGGGAGATCCCAGGCAAGCGAGTGTAGAGACATGATTGGCTTCCAGGATGCCATCTTCCGAGGCTTCAGAAGATACTTTGACGTTGCTGAGATGCACAAGGAAATTCTCATCTTCCTCAAAGATGTCATCATCGATGATGCCAACTCTGATTTCCTTCTGGGTCTCACCAGGCTTAAAGACCACAGTTCCTTCGGTAAATTCGTAATCAGACCCGGCATTGGCTGTGCCATCCTCCGTTCTGAAGTCAACAAACACAGTGTTGGTCAAATCACCACCTCTGCGGATAATGGTCAGGGCTACCGTACCGCAGTTCTCCAGACACTGATATGTTCCTTGTTCAAAGAAGATCTTACTGACAGGGTCATTTTCAGCCACTTCCGTGTTGACCTCGTGCATGCTGACGGCCTTCCTGGCTTGGTCAGCTGCATGCCTCTTTAAAATGTTGCCCGCTCCGGTCATCAGACGGGTAGCCTGAATTCGGTAAAATGCTCGACTTTTTTGCTGCTGACTTAAGACTTGGTAGTTGGCTAATTCTATCAATTGCTCTATTTCCTTTTCCGGATGCTTCTGCTTGAGTTCCTTCAGAATCCTAGCCATTTCTCGCCTGGCTTCTTCATCATCTTGGTCCCTCTCATCAACTTCCAGAACTAGAGCACCATCTAAGAAACTGTCAACGTGGGAATTGACCACTTTCCCATCCATCTCAATTTCTGTCTTGGAAGATGGCCTGTCTCCTTCATGTTCAATAATCATTCCCCTCTGCTTGCCAGCCCGGTACCTCTTGTAGACATACTTGTAAAACAGAAGCCTCCTATCTGCCACCCAAGCGAACACAACACAGATGGGAAAGAAGAAGAAAGTAAGCAAACCTTCCCAGACCTCCACGACCCCAGGAGAGATGACAGACAAAATGATGTAAAGCCAGGTATAGGCAAAGATGCTCCAGGCTGCTGTCACAAAGAACACACGCAAATGCTTAATCTTCCTCGTCTCCCCATCTGGGACGACGTAAACACAAAGTGCAATAATGATGAACATATTGAATGCGGCACTCCCCACAATGGTGCTAGGACCGAGGTCTCCTGCAGTGAAGTTATGGCCACACACCTCAATTACTGAAAGGAGAATCTCTGGAGCTGAAGATCCCAGGGCCATCAAGGTCAGGTTGGACACCGTCTCATTCCAGATCCTCACAGTTGTCTTGGTGGTCTCTCCGTTGGGTTTCTTTATGGTGATTTCTTTTTCTTGAGACGTGATGACTTCTATAGAGGACATGAATCGGTCGGCAATGATAGAGACTCCAAGAAACATGTAGACCATGGCCACAAAATACACAGTCGCCCTAGCAATTTTGTCCCCAAAGGAAGGGTCTTGGGGCTCCCAAATGGGTAAAATCACCCCTTTCTTACAGTAATAGGAGCCAGTACACTCGCTGGTTTCATTGCCTTCTCCTTCCATTTCTGTCTCAGCGCTTATATGATCCACGTGGGAAAACAAGAGAGCCACCATGACTAACCCATGAAATCCCATCGAAAAGGTGGGTGAGAGACTGAATCGCAGCATGTTGGACAATGGCAGAGTTCCAACTGTCCCAACCTACTGGGAAAAATAAGATAGGGAAAAAAATCACATCATTAGATCCAGATCCAAAGCATGACTAATTACTTATTTTTATTACTTTTACTAATGATTTGTTTATATTTGACTATCACAACATCTATGGAGAATCATGATTCTAAGAACCCATCTGTGATTAAGCAATCCTTGGTAACGTTTACAGCCCAATCTCTCCACTTGAGGATTTTCTACGTGTAGTCCCCATTCACTGAGCAATGTACACAGCTGACTTACTGGAATGAAATGTTCAATTATATCCTTGCCTTGTTGAATACACATGCATGCATGCTAACAGCCAATGAGAAAAAACAAAAAATTTTGACACATTGAATAATTTTCTCCTTGTTGCTAAGGCAGATTTCCTTTTAAACTGTGGTTAGTACAATCACCTTCCAGAAACTGTTTCATCACCAAAATCACCTCGTTAAGAGTGATGCTATGAAATTTAGACTCTAAACATCCTACCAACGCAAGGCTTGGTGATGATCTTAAATTCTAGAGCACAACTTTTCACTGCATTTCATGAAATCATGTCCTATGGCTCTTGGCTGCACAGAGAAATCTTCAAGCTTGCTTGCAATCAAAGCTCAATGGTATTTGTACTTGAGGGGAAAAAAAATCTGCTATAAGGCAATATTTCCACACATTAAGTACAGTTTTTAAAAGCATGTTTTGACGAGAGCACATTTCCTCCTAATTTTCAGCAAGCCCAGGTCTCCTGTTGCATTAGCAGCCGGGCATCTGGTTCTTCAAGCACTGCTCTTCATATCTAGGTACAGATCTCGCTCTAGAATCTGCAGGCTGCCCACAACAGGAAAGGGAGATAAGCAGGTCCAGGTCTAGGAGTGTGTAAGTAAGACTCTTGCTTGGCAGGCTGTGAAATCAGCGTTACCAGCCATAAAATGTTCCTTCTCTGTGTCGATGTCAGACTTGCCATGGTCATTCTAAAATACATATTAGTTCTATAGAGGATTCAAGTGACCCAAAAATGCAAGGGCAATAATCCCATCTAAATTAGCTCATGTGACAAAATGACAGTGACCACAATGTATACATGTGATGAAGAGCAGTAGGCAATTAGGGATATGGCAACAGCATCACTGGCGGGGGAATTCAGGTGCATGGTGGCTCCATCCACCACTCTGCCTTGCTTATCAAGCTGTGTGCCTCTCAGTGACCTTGTATCACCTCTGATTCCAGGGCTCTGGTGAAGGTGGTAGGGGAAGGCGCTGAAGCTAAGAAGGGGCTGCTCCAAGTCAAGTTAGGTCTGTTCTAGAAAGCCAGTTATGGTTATGACATCGGATAACACGGGGATAAGAAGGGTCCTGAGTCAGAGCTTAGCCCTGTGGCCTGACACAAAGTTAAAAGTGGAGCTGAATTAGACCCGCTCATAGCCTCAGGCTGTCTGAGAGTCACGCCCACATTCACCTAGACTCTCTGGCCTATGTTTGAGGCTGATGGCTTATACTGAAAACGGCACCTGGGCCCAGGAGAACCTCCACCCTGGCCCAGCCCATTCTGGCACACCCTCCGCAAGCCTACCATCACCTAAAGTCCTTGTTTTTAGCTCATCAGGGTTGGGAGATAAGCTTTGACCTTTTTCCCATGCTAAAGAAGACAGCGGAGGGCTGTGGTGGTGGAATTCCATTCTAAGTAAAAGGTCGAAAACTAGAAGCGTATTTTCAAAATACGCAAAAGTTCATGGTCAGTGTGTCTACTTGTTCAGTCATTACTGGGCTTGGGTAGGTTACAGGATTTCTCCTTAAAACAAGGTAACATTGAACCATCCTGTAAGAGCAGTGGCAGACCCAGTTCTAACTCCCTTATGCCGCAATTTATTCCCCATATTTATGAGAGCCACCCAGACAAATTTTAGAAGGGTATGCCAGGCTCTCTTCTAGGTCCTGAGAATTCATCAATGAATTTTTTTTTAAAGTCTCCATCTTTGTGGACCTTATATTCTAATGGGGAGGAAACAAACAAATAAATGTAAATGTCAGATGGTAAAAAGTGCTATAGTGGTGGGGGGGAGGGAGCAATTTCAGCAGGGAAGGAAGTCTATGAGTGTCAGTGTGTGTGTCAGTGTGTGTGTCAGTGTGTGCACACACATGGCATGCATGATTTTATAATGGATGGTTTAAAGAAGGCCTCTCTGATAAGGTGACATTTGAGCAAAGTCCTGAAGGAAGAAAAGGGGCCAAGCTTTGTGGATAGTTGCAGGAAGAGAATTCCAAGATAAGTGCAAAGACCCAGATGAGAATTGTGCTTTGCACAGTCTGGGAACCACGAAGAAACCAACGTGCTGAGAGGGCAGTGAGTGAAGGGAGCAGAGCTCAAGAGCTGGGAACACAGTGGGGATGGATTACGAGGGGCACTGAGGACATTATAAGATGCTGGCTTTGACTGTGAGGGAGATGGGAATCATAGGGAGGTTCCAATCACAAGTGTGATGTGAGCTGATTTTCCTTTAAAAGTGATCTCTCTGCTCGTTCAGTGAAGAATAGACTACAGGGGTAAGAGTAGAAACAAGGAAGCCAGTATTTGCCTATTATAAAAAAAAAAATCTGATTTATAAATGAGCCCCAATGCCTGCTAGGTATATAAAACGATACGGTAAAGATCTAAAGTTTAAAAAGGAGAAAGAAACATTTGCAGTGACCCTTTTGGACAGGGTCACTTGGTAACCTGTCAGGATCAGAAAGGTTAAATATTTGCTGAGAGGGAGTGGGACAGAACACAGAGAGCCAACACTGGACAGAGACTCGAAGCTGCGCCTGTCTCCAGAACTGATAGAATTAACCAGTCCCTTCAAATCACTGCCAAGTCTCATCATTCCATTCCTCACGTTTCAGCCAAAACAAACTTCCTAAAGTGCAGATCAGACTCTCTCACTCCCCTTAAAACTCTTCATGGGCTGCCTATTGCCCTGAAGACAAACCCAAATCCTCAATAGGGTGTTTATACCTTTTAGGATCTGGCCTCTGAGCTCCAGAATATGGGAATTCTCTCCACTCCCGGAACATGACAACACTTTCTTACCTCCAGGTCTTTGCACGTTGTGTTCTCTGTACCCTGAACTATTTTCCTTCTTAGAAGGAAGTTTCAAAATGGCACAACAGCAAATCAGAGTTGATTGCCTGAGACCGAAATACCAGGCTCCATTCTTAAACACTGTCCCAGACGCCATGCTAAATTCTTTACAGGGGTCATTATATCTAATACTTCTAAGAACCAGCACTGCCCTGTTACACAACTCCTAATGTTGCCATTTCCACTAGAGTCTGTGTGAATAGCACCCCTGGACTTGTGCAGTGCATAGTGCCCTAACAATAGCCCTATATGATAGATATTATAAGCCCATTTTGTAGGTGGGAAGACTGAGGCTCAGACAGGTTAAGTTCTTGCTGAAAGTCAGACAGATAGTAACTAAGATTCAAAGCCTGGTCTGTCTCTGAGATGATATAATTCACTGCTCCATTCTACCATCCCTGAGAGTATGTAAAATAATCTTTGAGAATGATTGGATTTGGGCTTGGACTAGCCCATTGGAAAACCTCCTGGCTCCCAAGAGGAGGACCTAGGTAGCAAAAGTCCCATGGAAGGATTACAACAAGCCTGGTTTTATGTTATGGATTAGAGGTTTAGACAAACATCCATAGCTCTGAGGTAACCTGTGGGCTGGGATGTTCCTAGGGACAGCTGACCCCGCCTTTCCCACCTTTTAGCAATTACCTGGCAACCTCTCCTGCAAGTACTCTCAGGGCAATCTCTTAGGTCTGCCCCACCCACATCTTCCAATATGTTCTCAACCAAAAGGGTACCAATGTCTAAGGGTGGATTGAGCAGTAAAAATCCATCATCACTATCAGAGGAAAAGGAAGGGGGCTTCTGAGGTTAATTCAAAAATGTCATAATTATATTCAAAAGGTGGCAGTGGTCTAATTTGTGAAGTCAGTGGACAAAAAACACTGCTATAACTTATTAGCCATGAAGCAACTGGAAAGAACTCTCTGGACTTCAGTCTCTTTCTTTATTAAATTAACACCAAATCTAAATGCTTGTGAGGATATGGGGTAGGTGTCATCTAAATGAGAGTTCTTTCTTCATTTTTTGTCTCCATTCTTTTAGGGTCTTGCCTCTGTCATCAGATTCAAAGAGATCTCTACCTGACTCTCCCCACTGTCTCCTCAAATATATATTTTCATGAAAATTAAGCAGGAAGTAGAGGCCACTGATATGTTGGTCTGCTGCCTGGCCTACTTCTGCCCTGATCTTCTGAACTCTGTAACACGGGGTAGGCTGATCTTCATGGTGGTTTCAGATCAACTCTTAACATCCACAGCTAGTTCTTACTTAGGAATATCCATTACATCATCCAAATGAGGCTTCAGCACAGTAGCAAGAATACTCACATTATCTTCTGCTCACTATTTATTTATTTGTAAATTTATTTATTTATTTGTTTTTATTTTTGGCTGTATTGGGTCTTCATTGCTGTGCACGGGCTTTCTCTACCCGTAGTGAGCGGGGGCTACTCTCCGTTGCGGTGCGTGGGCTTCTCATTGTCGTGGCTTCTCTTGTTGCAGAGCGCGGGCTCTAGAGCGCAGGCTCAGTAGTTGTGGCACACGGGCTTAGGTGCTCCGCAGCATGTGGGATCTTCCCAGGCCAGGGATCAAACCCATATACACTGCATTGGCAGGCGGATTCTTAACCACTGCACCACCAGGGAAGCCCTCACTATTTATTTTAAAACAAACCAAACAGCCCCAGAACCTAGAGATGGCAGACCTGAATGGAACTGACAAAGGACGGTGAACAGGTATCAAACTGAGTGAGCCCAGCCACCTATGTTGAAGGGAGAGGTCACAAAAATGGATGTATGTACTTGCAAGACAGATCTTTATCAAAACTGCCACAGTGGAGGTCCAACGAGTAATTAGGCAGCACAGCAGTGAGGAACTGTGGCGGTTTTGACTACA